GACAAAGCGGCACCTGGGGAATGCCGCCGGCCGTGCCAATGCCGGGTGCCGTCCCACGCCAGATCGGACCCCCTTACCCTGTCTCCGCGGGCCAAATAGACCGATCAACGGCAAATCTATCGCAGTGGCATCCAACGGTGCGGGAAACAGCTGCCGTCCGGTCTGCGGGGGAATCGCGGGACGGCCGCCTCGCCGCCGCGCCAGGGTCCGCAAACTCTCCGGAGATACGATTCTCCGCCCTCACTCACCCACACCGCCCCTCCCTGCCCGTCCCTACCCACAGTATTCCCTCCCCGCGGTGCCATGGAACTCCCCCCCGCCGCCGCGGAGCCCCCGCCCGCCGCGGGGGGGAACCCCCGCCGCGGCGAAGCCGCGAGGTACCGCCGCACCGTGGGCTACTTCATGTGCCTGGCGACGTCGGTGGCCCCGCTGGGAATCGGCGCGTTTTCGATACGGATGGGGTACCAGCTGTACGGCGCCCCGGTGGTGTTTTTCAGTGGGTCAGCGCGCCTTGCCCGTGCCGGGACGGCGCCGACACCCCTTCCGCCGCAACAGTTTCCATCTCCATGATCCTCGGGTCCGTCGGCATCGCAGGCGGTGCCCTCGGCCTCGCCGCCACCCTGCACCCCGTCAAGCTGGGCCGCGCGGGAACCCTCGCCGCCTCGTGGCTCGTCGTCGCGTCCACCGCGCTGTGTTTGATCTGGGCGGTCGCCGCCGCGGCGGGATACGCGCAGTTCGCGACGTTCACCCCGCAGTTCGTTCAGGCGGTGTGGGATTCCTTGCCGCCTTCGGCGCAGGAGAGCCTGCAGGGGGATTTCGACTGCGTGGGGTGGGAACAGTGCGGCCCGCCGCTGTTCAACTTCCTGCAGGCGCTGGCCAAAGACAGGGTGATCATGTCGTTCTGCCTGCTCTTTGGCTACGTGGGTCGCGGGCCGTCGGCCGGGAGCGGGGAGATGGGCTGACGGTGCGTTCGGCAGATCGTTTCGCTGGGGTACCTCATCGCCGAGAAGGACGAGACGTTCCCGACAAAGGACTGACGGGCCCCTTCTGGTGCGGAGAAATGGATCGACCGCCTGCGCGGGACCTGCCTGGGGGGCACGTTACGGACGCCGGCCGGCTGCCTGCCTCGCGTGCGTGGCTTCGATGGCGCGCCTCCTGCACGATCGCATCACATGCGGAGGTGCCGTTGGTTGTGCCAGTGATCTTTCGGCCCCCTGAAACTGCTGCGGGCCAGCTGCGGCCCGGTCCGAGTGACGGACTGAGTTCCAACTTGGGACGCCGCGCACGTGAAAGCCGGGGCTGGCGGCCCCAGCTCCCACTCGGATGGAGGAAAGTGGAGCAATATGATTTCGTCCCACTGGTCGGATTGCATCGGCAATTGGAGTGTGCTATGGAGGACGGCGGTCCCTATTTGTCACAGCGAGTGAGCAACCCGCGGTGCCCCGGGAGTGCTCAGCCGGCTCCCCTGCGGCGGGATCGTCTAGAACAGCACGTTGATCGCCTTGAACGCCGATCGGCCCGGCGGCCGCCCTGCGCGCCCGCAGCAGCGGACAGAACGGTTCCCGGGTCCGGTTGAGAAGGTCCCTTCGAAAAAGGGAACGATCGGTCCCTAGTCGAGCAGGGAAAGCACCGCCCGCCGACGCCGTCACGCACGCACCCCCGGCGTTCTGCGGACGGATCTCGCCTCCGACAACGCAAAGAACATGCCGGCGGCAGTCAGCGTGCCCACCGCGCGGCGGCAGCCCGCGGCCCCGGCCCGGCAACCCCAGACCATCCCCCGACAGCATACCGCTCCCCCCGGCATAGCGAATTTCCAGGCGGTCGCCTCGGCTGCCCTGGCAGGCCTCCGGGCCGAACTGGACGCCGCCCGGTCTCAGATCGACTACGAGCGCGCCGAGGCGGCGCGTGCGCGGGAGGCGCTGGCCCGCGAGCGGGACACTTTTGTGCGGGAGCGCGAGGCGGTGCAGCGCGAGATCCACGCCGAGCGCGCCGCCGCCGCCGCGGTGCTCGCTGCCGCCCGCGGAGAGGCCGAGGCGCTGCGGGCGGCGCTCGCCGACACGCACTCGCAGCTGGCGGTCGCGCGGGCGGGGCTGCTCGAGGCGTCGCACGCGCTGGACGAGGGCGCGGAGAGGCTCGGCCGCGCGCAGACGGAGCTGTGGCACGAGAGGGCGCACCACAAGGACACTGCCGCGGAGCTGAGGGACGAGCAGGCGACGGCGTTCGCGATGCGCAAGCGGCTCGAGGCGGCGGAAGCCAGGGCGGCCGACGCAGAGGCGGAGGCGTTCGAGGGCGCGCGGGCGCTCGAGGCCGAGAGGCGGGCGCACGCAGAGACGAGCAGGCTGCTCGAGGACTACCGCGCCGCCAAGATGGCGTCCATCTCGCGGGCTTCGGACGACGAGAGGACGGTGGCGGACCGCGAGGCCGATGCGGATGCAGGCGACGATGAAGATGAGGGCAGCCACGTGACCGTGGACTCGCTGGCGGAGGAGGAGGAGCGGCCGACCGTCGCCGCCAGCGATGCGCAAAGCGTCGACGGGGACACGGCGGCCGCGTGGCGCAGGCGGCTTGCGCAGGTCGAAGCCAAGCTGGACGCCAGGGCGCGCCGTTCGAGGTCGCTGGCCTCGCACCGCAGCTACACCGGCTGAAGTAAAGAACGACCGGCGATGTACAGGACTGGAACGAGGTCGGATGTATAGGCCAAAACTTGCCATCAATCCTGCTATCGCGTCCGCCGTCCGGCCCCGACTTCCATTCCAGGCCAGCACCGCATCGTGCCTCCGCCGCCACCGACCTTCAATCCACCGGCCCCGGCACCGCCTCCGCCGTCACCCACGGCCCCTCCCCCTCCGGCGTCCCCTCCACCCCCCTCCTCCCCTCCAAGAACGCCCGCCAATCCCCCTCGCCCATGCCCCCGTCCACCCACGCGGGCCACTCCACGAACCAGCCCTGCCGCACCTCCCACTCGTCCCCGCCGTCCGCGACGAACCGCAGCCTGCCCGCCATCCACCTGACGGGGTCCGCGCCGGGGTCCGGGAACGCCCGCGGGCCGGGGAGCGGCGAGTCGGCGTACCCGTTGGCCACGCTCACGGCTTCCCACTCCGGTTGCTGCGGGGTGAGCGTGGGGATGCCGCCGACGAGCTGTCCGGGGTCTTCCTCGACGCGGCCCGAGGAGGCGTAGGCGAACGTCCACCACCGCCCCGCGAGGGTGACGGACGAGTAGGGGCACGAGGGGAGCAGCGAGAGGCGCAGGCGGAACGCGTGGCGGCCGCACGTCCCGGCGTCGGGTTCCAGCAGCGGGAAGGTGGAGATGGCCGCGAGCACGCCGCGGGATTCCGCCCGGGCGGTGTAGGGGCCTCGCGTGGGGAACGGGGACGGCCGGCCGCCGGGGCATTCCAGCGTGCCGGACTCGAGGTCCGCCACCCATTGCGCGAGGAAGGAAGTGAACGGCCCCCGGTCGAGGAACCGCCCCGACCTCGCGCCGTTGGGGCCGAGGTCGACCATCGCCACCCTGTGCCGCAGGAAGGCCAGCCTCCTCGGGGTGTCGACCACGATGGCGAGGTTCAATGCGGTCGAGGGGCAAAAGGCAAAGATGGCCGCCGTCAGCCCGCCCGGCAGGGGCATCGCGTGCAGGCGGGACATGGGCACCAGGGAGAGCGAGCGCGTGGTGATGCCCGTGCGGAAGGCGCCAAAGAGCCCGTGGTCGCGGGGCATCCCCGGGCCGCCGGCGGGGCGGTGCTGGCCGTCCGCGAAGGAGTAGAAGAGGGCAAATGCGCGGGCTTCGGGGTCCCGGGGGGCGTGCGGGAGGAGGTCCAGCACCGCGGCGTGCGGGGGCCGGGTGCGCAGCACGGGGAGGGGGGTGGGGGGGCCGAGGGAGGCGAAGGTGCGGGGGGCGTGCAGGGAGAGGTGCCGGTGCAGGCGGCGCAAGAGGGGCCGCACGGCAAAGTGCGCGTCGAGGAAGCCGGCGTGGTCAGCGGCAAAGACGGCGAAGGAGGAGCGCAGGCGCGGGCCGTCGGCGAGGGAGGACGCGTCGCCCAGCGTGGTCTCGAGGTCGGGAGGGTCCCACGCCTCGAGGAGGCGCCGCCAGAGCACCGCGTCGTCCCACAGCGCGGAACGCGTGGCGCGGCACGCCGCCGACAGGGTGACGACGTCGCCGAACGCGGGCACCAGCATCGCGGCAACTTTGCAGATAAGTTCGGGAGGCAGGTCGGCCAGGCCGGGCCGCGGCGGCAGCCCCAGCAGCGCGCGCAGCTCGGATATCTCCTCGAGCACGAGCCGGTGCTCCTCCAGCCGCGCCGCCGTCGGCGACCGCGCGGCATCGGCGACGGCCTCGTGGGCTTCATTCTGCGCGCGGAGGGCCGCGTTCAGGCGGCGGTAGAGTGTGTCGAGGCGGTCTTCCATGGCGTCGAGAGGGGAGGGGTGACGGGGCGGTTGAGATGCGACGCTGGTCCGTCCCACTTCCGGCGGTTCGACCGGCCAGAGAAGTTTTGGCCGCGATCAATTGTAACGTAACGCTACGAAGCTACTCTCGACAGCTGCCTCTCGATAGGTGCCCCGCCGGGATAGCGAGGGGTTTGGACACCGCGGATGGCCGATGCCATTCGGGCGAGCCCGGCATCGGCTCCGGACCATCCACGCACCGCGGTGGCGGCAAATCAATATTCCTTTGCTACGAAAACAGTCAGTATCTCCAAGTTGAACCCCGCGGCCGCATTGCAGGCGAGGCGCGGGTGTCGGGGCCTGGTCGGCGCTCCCCGGCCGGAGTCCGCCGCCGGCAGGCACCCCGGCGACCATCCACCCAAAAGAGTGTTCGAGCGAGGCAAAAGGATGCTGGAGGTTGCGGGAGCTGAACCCCGCGGCCGCATTGCAGGCGAGGCGCGGGTGTCGGGGCCTGGTCGGCGCTCCCCGGCAGGAGGCCGCCGCCGGCAGGTACCGGCCACCATCCACCCAATAACATGTTCGAGCACCACCCAAAAGCGTGTTCGAGCGAGGCAAAAGGATGCTGGAGGTTGCGGGAGTTGAACCCGCGGCCTATTGCAGATTCGGAGAAGTGCGAAGCAACCGCGCTAACCACTGCGCCAAACCCCCAGAAAACGTTTAACCAGCATTTCGGGGCAACAGCGAGATTCGAAAACAAGCAATCGGGCGCAAGTGGAGAGGCCTCGGGGTCCAAGACCGCGAAGCGGATGCGGGGAGGGCGGGGACGGTGTGTCGGGTCGGGAAACTGCTGTGGATGCTCCGGTTTGGTGGGTTTTGTGATCGGCGCATGTGGGGAGCCGCGGCCATGACTGTACCCGGCAGCTCGGCGGACATCTAACCCCTCCCCTCTTCCCCGAATTCAATGTATATGGCGTGACGTGATGTATCGGGGTTGGGGGCCGCTCAGCGCCTGTGATAGAGATCTGACATGCGGCAGCCTGCCCACGGCGGCGGAACCCTTGCCGCCAAGTCCGCGCCCCGCCTGGCCGCCCGCAACCAGACAGCCTCTGGCGACCTTGCAGGACGCGTCTAGAGGTGGGGGCCGTCTTCTCCCCCCCCGGTTCCCCGGAATCGAGTTCCCCCGCGGACCGATCGAGCCGACGGGGGCTGGTGAGGGGTTCGGCCACGCCGTGGCGACCGCTTGTGCCCGCACCTCCGGGGTTCCGGGGGGCTGGGAAAGGGAGATCGAACGAAGATTTCACACTCGTTGCATCGGTGATTGTGTGCGGTGGGCGGGGACCCGGGCCGTCAGGGGGTTCGTGGGCCGCGGCCGGAAGGAAGGGCCTCGCTCGCATTCGGCTGCGGCGCCGAGCCCCTCCCCGCTCCTCCCCCGTCACGATGGCGGCCACCCGCCGCGTCCTCCGCACGCCCGACCCGAGCTCGCGGCCGACGGTTGTGACCTCGTTCCGCCTCAGCGCGGCCGGGGGCAAGCCCGAGCCGGTCCGCGATCCGCTGCTCCAAAGCCCCGAGGCAGCAGCGAGGGCGCACCGCCGCCTCGCCGAGGAGCGGGCGGCGCGCAGCCCATCGCGGCGGGCGTCGCCGGGCGGCTCCGCTGGCGGCTCGCCGCGGGCGTCGCCGCGGGCATCGACGGCCGACGACCAGCTGGCCGCCGACCTGGCCGCGCTGCTCCTCGGCGCCGGGCCCCCGTCGCCCCGCCTGGACACCGCCTCCAAGAGGGCATCGATCATCTCGGCCGACGGGGGCGGCGGCCGCCCCGCTGCCCGCACCCCCGCCTCGCTCGCGCACTCCCCGCTGTGCGTGCCCGACGGCGAGCTGCACGTCGACTCGCGCGCCTTCATCGGCCGCGGCGGCTTCGCGGACGTCTACAAGGGCGAGCTGCGGGGGAAGGAGGTCGCCGTCAAGCTGCTGCGCGGGCCGGGCGGCGGCAGGCTGCTGCTGCCCGCAGAGGTCGAGGCGTGCTGCGCCGCCCCCGAGCACCCGAATGGTGGGTCCCGCCCGCCCCTCTGGCCCTTCAAGCCCCCTGTGGCTAACCGCCGCCCCGCTCGCCGCCCCTCCCCATCCAGTCGTTCCGATCCTCGGCTTCCGCCCCTCGCCGCCCCTCATCGTCCTCCCGTACTACCCTGCCGGCTCGCTCGCCGAGCACCTCTCCCGCCTCGGCTGGCCCCGCGCCGCCGCCCTCCCCCTGCTCCGCGACGCCGCCCTCGGTGCAGCCCACCTGCACGCACACGGCGTCGTGCACGGCGACATCAAGCCCGCCAACGTGCTCGTGCACCTGCCCCCCGGCGGCGGGGAAGCGACCGCGCTGCTCGCCGACCCGGCGCTGTCGAGGGGGAAGGGGGGCGGGAGGACGATGCGGTACGCGGCGCCGGAGCTGTTCCGCCTCCGCTCGGCGCCGTCTCCGGCCTCGGACGCCTGGGCGTTCGGGATGGCGTGCTGGGCCGTGCTTTCCGGAGGCGTGGAGCCCTACGCCCACTGCGCGTACGAGAGGGTGGTGGGTTGCTGCCGTCGCTCGGGCCGCCGGTCGCTCTTGCTGATCTCCATCGCCCGCTTCCAGCTGATGCGCTCCTACGAGCGCGGCGAGCGCCCTCCGCGCCCCGACCGCGTCCCCGACGCCCTCTGGGACCTCCTCGCAAGGTGCTGGGCCGAGCGGCCCGCGGAACGGCCCGCGCTTGCCGACGCCGCGGCGACCATCGCGGCGCTCATCGACTCGGGGGCCTTCGACGGGGCCGAGTTCGCCGCCCCTGCGGCGGTCGGTGCGGACGAGGGGCAGCTGCCGTCGCCTTCGTCCTCCGGCGGTGAGGGCGGCGACGGGGATGGGTCCTCCGTGGACGGAGGGGAGGACGGCGGGGACGCCTCGGGCGGGAGGTAGCGACCGGCGATGGGCGGCGGCGGCGGAAAACGGGGGGCTCTCTTTCTCTTTGTCTGTACCATACTATTACGCTCTGTCTCTTCACGAACGATTAGAATGTACGATCAACGAGTGGGAACGGCGGCCGGGGGGTTCCCCCCTTCCCTGGAGGCGCGAATCTGGCAAGAGGTAGTGGCAAGAGGAGGGGAGAGGCGGCCCTTCGCTCGTCCAAACGGAGGGCAAGTTTTCCGAACGCCGTTCGGAAGACTTGCCATCCCGGACCCGCCACTCCGGACGACCACTGTGCCCCCCCGGCGATTGCGGACGCCGGTTCCCGGGTACCATTGGCTTGAGCAGGTCCGGCGCTGTCTTCTGCCGGGTGGAGAGCCGGGAGGAAGGCGAAGAGCCCCGACGCCGGCGAGGAAGGCAGCAGGAGGAGGACGTCCAGTTGGCGGAGCTTCGTCGGTTCCCCCTCCGCCGGGCGCTCGATCCCAGGGTAGAATAGAGCCTATCGCGCCGTTTTGCATGCGGGGGAAGGACGCCTGACGAGGTCCTGCTCGGGGTGGGGTGAGCCGGCCTCGGGGGAACGGCGCCCTCGTCTTGGGACCCTCTCGTGGCGTCGCCGCCCCCTCCCCTCCCCGGCCTCTCCCCGCCTCGGCACCCCCACCAGCTGTAACGCGCCGGCGTCGGGGCAAGGGGGACGGTGGTCCCCGGCGAGGGAAGACTAGGCGCAGTGCTGTGTAGTGACTCCTCAACGTCGTCAACACAGGTCTTTACGGGTCCCCCGCGCCCCGTCCTGACAGTTTGACGACGTTCCAACCCTGAATCCACGTTTCCCGTTCCCCGTGACCTCGCCCTCGGTTAGGGTTTAGGTTAGGTTAGGTTAGGTTAGGTTAGGTTAGGTTAGGTTAGGTTAGGTTAGGTTAGGTTAGGTTAGGTTAGGTTAGGTTAGGTTAGGTTAGGTTAGGTTAGGTTAGGTTAGGTTAGGTTAGGTTAGGTTTTAGG